CTTTGCTCCCGCCTACGCGAAGCATCGCACGGGTTCCAACCCATGTAGATTCAAAGCGCCCTGCTTCAAAGCGCAATCAGCACCTGCACCCGGGCTCTATTTTAGCACTCTGCATCAATCTTCATAGGGCAAAACTTTCGTCCTATGCCACCCTTGGATCTCATTGGCAACTACATTCTCCTGAGGTATCTGAGGGTCTTCTCCCACTTACGAGCAAACATCCACCTCAATCCCTTCTTCTCGGACTGTGTGCCCCGCATGACTGTTGAAAGTATCTCACTGGAGGTTCAATCTTGTGTGTTTTGAGAGTGGCCCAACCCTCTTATCCGGTGGTGGAATTGGCAATACGGTATCGACTGCGAGTCTTTGAAATCTTCTCTGTAATATTTGTCCCATGTTAGGAGTTGGTATCCTGGTCCACTCATTCTCTGTCGCCACCAAATCTGGTTCCACTGATGTTGTTCTACTGATAAGAGATCCTGTGACCTTCAGCTCCGTCGAAGGAACTATTGCAATTTGTTTCCTGTCCTTGGTGAAAGAATAAATGTTCCGTATTCATCTCTTCAACTAACTCATCTTTGTTAAAGATAGTATTTTGTTTGCATTTTAAATTCATCTTTTTTGTTGCATCACATTTTTTTTTCCATTCAGATAATAATTAACACATCAAATTTTGTAATTATTGAGCAATCCCTATGAGACAATATTCTTATTTACTCATTATTATTTATATACCTTGCACATATATTTCCTTATGTGATAGAAGTTGATTAAGTTGTAATTACCTTGGATTGTATGATAATATGGATGCCATATTTGTGGACTATAACTTCAAACAGTTTTTTTTTTTTTTTTTATTTGCTTTTAGTTCTTTTCTTTTATTTTAATTTTATTTTTTATTTTGTTGTTTAATTAGTTATGTAGGACTCGCCTTGTTGAATGAATCAAGCTGAATGAGATTTTTCACTAGTTATTGATCCCTTCTAACATGGCAAAATGAAAAGCGGCGGGCTGTAATCTTGGCCTTGGGTGACATGGAGTGTGGGTAAGGGCACTTAGAGACTGCAAACTTCCAATAGTGTATGGGATCTTTAAAGGCATAGTAAAGCCAGGGGTTCAAGTGAATAATTTTGAAATAAAACCAGGAATGCTATGGATGATCCAAAACACCCAACCTGGGGGGTTTAGCCACTGAAGATCAAAATGCTCACATAAAGAATTTTTGGGAGATTTGTGACACCTTAAAGATTAGCGAGGTGTCAAATGATGTGATTAGATTGAAGCTCTTTCTTTTTCACTTGTAGACAGGACTAAGAGTTTGCTAAATTCACTGCCTAATGACTTCATCACTAGTTAGGACAATTTGGCTAAAATTTTCTATAAACATATTTCCTTCAATAAAGGTCTCAAGGATGAGAGCATAAGTATCAAATTATGTGTAAATGGAGGGAGATACCTTATATGATGCATGAGAGATGTTCAATGACCTGTTGAGGAAATATTCACACCATTGTGTACTAAGGTTGATGCTTGTCTAGGCATTTTATGATGGGTTGGTGAGAGAAACGAAGGCTTTGATGGAGGCCTTATATGGCAGCATATACATGAGTAAGTTACGTAATCACTAACCTACTGGACAATATCCTCACTATTTTCTTATCTGATGTTCAATCCACTTCATTTTCAAGTTCTGAGTCTTGTAATATTGAATCTCAACCTAATGAATCTTGCCTTCCCATTAAAGAAATATCTTGCCCACGATATCCATTGTCCTATTATATATTTTATAAAAACCTCTCACCGACTTTTTGTACTTTTATCTCATAATTGTCGTGTATTGAGATCTCTAGTACTGTGCAGGATACTCTTAAAATACATAAGTAGAAGGAGATTATTTTTGAGGAGATGAAAGCTCTTGAAAAAAAACACAAAAAAATTTGTTGATCTACCTAAGGGACAAACAAATGTCAAGTGCAAATGGGTGTTTACAATCAAGTATAACCGGTTTTTAAGGGATTCACTCAGACCTATGACATTGATTATTTGGAGATTTTCGCCCCATTCGCAAAACTAAACTTTATAATGGTTCTTTTGTTACTTGCAACTAATCTTGATTAGCTCTTATAACAGTTGAATATATGAATGTCATCCTCAATAGGGACTTAGAAGAAGAAATATATATGGATGCACCTCTGAGATTTTGGCAAGAACTTTGACACAAAGGTGTGTAAACTAAAAAAAAATCCTTATATAGGTTGAAGCAGTCATTAAGAGCTTGATTTGAGAAATCTACACTATTTGTTAAATGTCAAGGGTATACTCAAGGGCATGAAGATTATACAATGTTCTTCAGACATTTCAAATGATGGGAAAATAACCATAATTATTGTGTTTGTGGATGATACTATTTTCACGGAACTGATGCATATAACATGAATCGTTTGAAGACTTCTCTATTATCTATTTTTAAAACCATGAATTTTGGATCTCTGACTTATTTCCTTGACATGGAGGTTGCTTGATCGAAGAAATGAATCATTATCTCTCAATGGAAGTTTGTTTTTTGTCTTCTCAAGGAAATTAGGATGAGTGGGTGTAGACATGCGGACACTCCAATTGATCATAATCTAATGAATATAGTTATTTATCAAAAATTGGTATAGAAGTTGATATACTTTTCTCATATATTGCCAGATATAGCCTTATTTGTGAGTTTGGTAAATCAATTTATGCATTTGACCTATATGAAAAATCTTGAAATAGTCAACAGAATTCTCGTATATCTTCAAGGTACACTAAGTAAACGCTTACTCTTTCAGAAGATCACACAAAAGAGCATAGAGGCATACACTGATGCAAATTGGGAAGGCTCGGTTATTGAGAAGAGATCAATTTCTAGATAATGCATCTATGTGTGGGGAATCCTAGTTACATGGTGAAGTGAGAAATAGAATGTAGTTGCAAGTAGCAGTGTTGAGGCAAAATATAGGGCTATGCTAATAGAGTATGTGAAATGTTATTGGTTAAAAATAATTCTTGAAGAGATGTAGTTCTCGATAAGTATGTCAATGAAGTTATACTATGTCAATAAAGTAACCATAAGCATTCCAAAAAATCCAGTGTAGCTTGTTCGCAAAAAATATGTGTAGATTGACAAGCACTTCACAAAAAAGAGTATTGATTGTCGAGCTATTTGCATGTCATTTATCTCTATTGCTTAACAAAAAGTGGCTATCTTCACTAAAGAATTGTTCAGGCCTAATTTTGAGCTCCTTATAAGCAACTTGGGCGTGATATATTTCTATGCTCTACCATGAGGGGAGTGTTGGATTATAGTAAGATTCTATTTTTAGTATCATGTATTATTAGTATTTTCTATTTTTAGAATATAGATTATTGCTATGTCATAATTCATATTTCCTTCTTTTATCATGGGGAGTTATGATCGAGATTATTATTTTCCTAATGTCAGAGTTGTCCCTCTATTCATTTTCTATGAAATTAAAGAAGAACAATTATTTTTTCCCTCTCAGGACCTACATTCTTAATGTGGAATTATAAGCGAGTGTAGAAGCAGACTCTTTCTATTTTTATTTTTCCTTGAAGTGTTAGACCGTTGTCTTTCTAAAGCATATACGTTTTGATCGAATTTATTCTGGAAATTCCGTTTCGCTGCAAAAATTTTTGGAAAAAAGGGATGGCAAGGGGCATTGACATTTCTAGTTATTACGCGTCTATGGAAGGTAAAGCCACCCCCAATATATTGTAGTAATAAAATAGTTTTCTTAGATTATACCACTTTAATTTGACATATATTGTAAATCTTTGGAAGATTAAGCCTCCCAAAGTGTTTGTGTTGGGTTGGAGACCTGATCTATGAATAAGATAAATCAGATAGTTTCTTAGATTACTATAAGCTATTTAATGTTGATGGTGTCTATCTTTCGTAATTGGGGATAAAATTCCTGTAGTTGATCGAAAAAGTTAAATTTTAAATGTTCATTTTCTTACCTTGACAACAAAACTTATTTAAAAGCGGTTAGTGCAGCCGTTTGTTGTATGGCATTAATTTTTGCATTGTAGGTTGGCAAAACCTTTATTGATAGGTTTTGCTGCTTCCTCTCGATGACATACATAGATCCTCAAAAAGTGCAAAGCGCGATTCGATGCACAAGGCTTATATTTGCTTCAAAGCGCGAAGTGACATTTTTATTAATTAGTGTACTGATATGTTATATAAAATTATTCTTGTATAAATACCTTCATTACTAATTATAAAATAAAAAACGATTTAAAAGTTGATATAAAATATAAATAAAATGTGATGTGATACCTAACTTGAAGATAAACATTGAGGGTGAACTTGTCAAATAAAATTTCAAAAAGATTTTAATTGTTTGTTGCAGCAATTATCAACTTAAAAATTACAAAAAGAAATTCTTATAACTCTAAACAAAATCTAAATTTTAAAGCATAAATAAATTAATTAACTCAGTATCCCTTTATTCTATATCACTAAACTATGAATTGCACCTCCCGCTTTTCTTCAATGCTTCAGAGTGTGCCTTAGTGAAGCGAAGCGAGTGTCATGCACTTTGCTTTGCTTTGCACATGAAGCGTGCTTTTAAAAGCTTGGTTAAATTATGAAATTCTCTAGTGGAGCTCATACTTTTTGGTGCCATTGTAGGGGCTTTAGCTCATTAAGATTTTGGAATGTGATGTGTGTGTTTTACATATTTAATTCTTTGTTATGAAAGTATTATTTTGATCGTTTTATTTATTTTCATTAATTTGGTATCTTTGGATGCGTTAGGTTCTGTGTGATACTTGCTTACCAACCTGATCTCACACGTGTTTGATGTCCTATTGAGCGAGATATTTCTATCTTTTAAGATGTTTACTTGCCCTTACTTCAACTTCTTGTTTTTGTCTCCATTCTTGATCTTTCTCTACAACTCAATGATGCGTATTAGCATGGCTGTTATTCATGGAATTTGTAGTTCGGAAAGGACAAAGCAATGGCGACCTTTGGCGCTCTACCTGCTGTTAATGCTCCTCACCCTTATGCACTTACATTGATATCTGCATTGAAATTTGATCGTTCTGGACATAGATTTGCTGCCGCTTCATTGGATGGCACATTATCCACCTGGCAATTTGAGGTTGGGGGGAGGAGCAATGTTCACCCAACGGAATCATCCCTCTGTTTTAATAATCATGCATCGTATGTAGCTACATGCCCATTAAATATGTTTACTGTTGCCAACCTTTTGGTGTTTAGCCTGTTTAATAAAAAAAAGGTTCCTAAGGTCTATGATTACAGGGATGTTGCTTATGTGGGTGCTAGTGGATCGATAATAGCTGCGGCTGGATGTAATACTAATGGCCACAACGTAGTTCTATGGGACACTCTGGCTCCTTCTGGCACATCTCAGGCATCCCTTTTGTGCCATGAAGGTATGTTTCTTTCATGGGCATGTAACTGTGCAAGGCCAATGTTGATGCTACTTTTCATTATACCTGTTGTCGATAAACCAGTTGTCGATAAACCATAATGAAATCAGTAGCAATGCTCACTTTTTTGGCAGAAAGCTAACAACGGCTAAAAGGGCTATGTGCAATTGTAGGCATAAAAATAATCTAGCTTAAAATTGAGGAAATGTTTTTTCGAAATATTGAGTCATTTACCCTGCTCTATGTAAAAAGTTGTGCGTCCAAATGACAGTCCATTTTTCCAGCACTTCTAATTTTGTGAAAAGTGATGCTGTTCTTATGATTGACACCAATAATTGGTATGTTTTTTGGCGTGTATAATAAAAAAACTGAAAGAATAAGGAATCAAACAAATTTTTGCCCATATCTACCTCTATATATATATATATATATAGTTAAAAAGCCCAAGGGTAAATATATTAGAGAGGAAAGGTACAGATAGGTTGGATGAGAGGGCTCAAACTGGAACCCTAAGCACTCGGTATACAACACAGACCAAGTTCCCAAAAAAGTGCATATATACCCAAAAAAAACAAAATTATAACCTAGGTAAAACTCTACTCCAAAAGTCTCCAAACACTTGGAGATTCAAATATAAAATGGGAGCTTGAGAACGACCCAATGCATCCTTGCCTCTTACCTCTAGTCTGGAAAGGGAGCCAGCTAACAAATGGTCAAGTCTACTGCCAATACCCGAAAAAATCAAGGTATCATCCATTAAGTTCCTGAGTTCTAGTAGACCGCTATCTACTTTTTCTTTCTGGATGTGTAAACCTGTCATTCTTCATTTGAAGACTGACTCATCTGATCTGTGAATTGGTTCAAAGATTGTCGGGCATGTGTAGCCTGTTACACATCATGAGCCCTTTGTGCCTGAATGACAGTAACAGCTTGCTCGATCTGATGAGGTGGTAGGGCCGCAGTAGAAAGCTCACTTATGATAGAATGTTGGACTTAAAGTTGGGGCACACCTAAGGCTGGACACTCCACCACGAGATTGTCAACCGTTACTTCAATAATAGGTTCTAGAGTTGGTGAAGTATGAAAAGTCTCCTCTGCCACCACCAACAGAGGTTCCACACGAGGAATCAGAGGACCTTCATCTTTAGCATTATATGGAGGCTGAGTAGTTGAAAGATTGCCCGCGGGGGTAGTGGAACCTACAGCAACGTCGACTAGCGGACTAGATGGTATGGTTACCACAGTATTATTGGGGCCAGAGATATCCTTGTGATGAACAAGAATGTCACTAACTTGGAGAAGATTAGGAGGAGGGATCTCTAAATCTAGCTAAGGACTTTGCTTTTTTTGTTTTAGATGGGGGTGTAGGTGGTGACATTGAGAATTGGAGTGGTCAAACATGCCACAGTGAGAGCAATACATGAGAAAAGGCTCAATAACTTTCCTTTGCCAATACCCTTGGTGTTGTGAGCGTAACCAAATTTCCTCAGAAGCAATTAAAATGATGTTCCTTTCAACAAACACTCTGGCTTCTGAAGGACGTGAAAGATTAAAAGTAGGAATGTTTTTTTTTTAGTAGCTTACTATAGAATGAAGCAATAAAGTACAACACTTTTGTATTAAGATAATGAAATTTCAGACCAAGGAGGTGAATCCAGACCGGTATGGTTGGTGGTTCCGTATGTGGGTCAAAATTTGTTGTCTATTTCAAAATTTTTATTGCTCTGTTATCAATCTAAACTAATCTTCTAGCAAATAAGTGTGTATAATTCTCTTCATTGTTAAGTTGAATAAGGATGTGTCGCTCATCTAGAAGTCCAATTTTTCACTCCCCATCAAGATGCAGCTCAAATTCCTTACGAATCAGCTCCATTTTTGGATGGTCATAAAGGAATTTCCTGACCAAATTCAGACAACATGAGGAAGTAAGCATATTACTTTCGGCTTCAGTAAAAATAATGGTTGGCTTCCCATTCTTCCAGCCAGCTTTCTTGATGTAACAGAACTCGTCACCCACCCTTTAGCAGCGCAAAAGAATGGAAGAACAAACTCGATTTAGAAGTACTTGAGGCGTGAACACTAGCAAGGGCAGCAGCATAAGTTCTGTCTGAAGCCATCACCGGCTGAAGAAGGGGAGGGGTTAGGAGCAGTGAAGAATGCAGTTGAGGAAAGAGCAAACAACGAAGAAACAACAATTAGGGCAACAACAACACGACGAAGGAACGAAGCAGACGAAGAGCGAACCCCTTCTCGAGCACGACGAAGCAATGAAATTGAGGAAGACGCGATAGGAGGAAGGTGATTCAATGTGGAAGATGACGGAATTCTTCTTCAAACGAGCACGACGTAGCGACGAAATTGATGAAGGCGACGAACAAAGTTGGTGATTCAACGAAGCTGACAAAGAAAATCGCCATCAGGTGAAACCCTAGCAGAGCCTTCCACGATAAGCATAACGATATTATATATGTATGTGATGTATGTGTGTGTGTGTGTATATATATGTGTGTATATATATATATATATTATTTATTTTTTGAAATGCCCGAGGGCTAATTTTATTGAAATTAAAAAGGTACATAAATGTTTGTTGTATGAGAGGACCCAATAGGCGCCCTACCCATACGATACACAGACACTTATATATATATATATATATTGCAGAGAAAGATCAAAGGTGTTGATTTTAAAAATGAGAGAAAAATTGAAAATGTTGATTTACTTTCTTACAACTTCAAGTTCTAATTTTGATGAAAAAAAACTGAAGTGAAGATAGTAGATTACATATATTGTGGACTCCAAAAATTCACTCTTGAGAGAATTTTTATTTTGAATAAAATTTTTAGATAACTAATTACATTTTTTAATAAGACATTACCTTAAAATTGTCTACATTTTATGAGAACTAAGTTCAAAATTCCATACGCACAAACCCCTATGATTAATTATCTCTCCCGATGATGCGAGATAACTTTATATTATATTGTCATTAAACCGTATAGTAGCAATAGCTTTCGTTTTAAGGGTTGATTATGTTTATTATCTTTAGCTTAATACAAATGGCGGGAGAATGATGAAGTGTCTAATTAAGATATTATGATTCATTTATCTCGATTATGATGGTCTGCCTAGTCAAAGAAAATATTCAACCCAATTTGATTATAGAATTCCTGTAACAAATTTGTGTTGTGCCTTCCCAAGAGATCTTTTAGTATTGCTTAGGGTTAGCATAATTAATGAATATTAAATTTAGCTAATAACTCTTCTCAAGGGTGCTAAGAAGAGTGTATAGGCTTTAATGAGCTTGAATTTTATATGGCATTAATAATTGGGCAATATTGGGTCGAAGCCTAACCGAAAAGCTATCAAAGACCCTAGGAAGTTCGTATGAGAGAATGGGATGACTCTAGCCTTGAGATTACTTAAAAATGCTATGGCGATTTACCAAATTATATTATGTCACACCTTAGCTAAACCCCCTTCATATAGTGAAATAATGGTGCAATAGAGGTGAACGACTCAGTCAAACATAATTCTCACAAATAGTAATTGTGACTCGATTGTCGTAAATATTAACAATCAAATTCAATATCATTTGCATTCTTAACATGGGGAAGTATACATAATAATTTCACAAAACACATACAAAGTTGCTGAACATCAAACATATAAAAATACATATCCTAAAAGACTTCACGACCTTCTCAAAATTATGCAAACCAAAAACCATACAATGTCGCACCTCTTCAATCATCTTGATGCTTCTTACCTCTTCCTAAAAGTAAACAACATATGTAAGTTACAAGCTTGATGAAATAATTATTGCTAAAGTAACGATTTTATAGACAAAAAGAAAACAATGTGCATACTCAACTATGACTAGTATGAGTGACAGCAGTACAAAAAAGCACACGTTAATCAAATAAAATATGTATAATAAAGAGTATAGAAATAGTAAGCAATAATAAACTATAACAAGTACTAGCATGAGTGATAACAGTACAAAACAAGCTCACTTTAATTACATGAAATATATATAATAAAGAGTAAATAGTAAGTACTAACAAACGATAATGAGTACATTCCGCAATCATATGATTGTCTTTACTCGTTCATGCTCATTATTTGTTGTCTTAGGAATGTTACTTCTACTTGTATAGGTTTTGAATTAATTCATTTCATGGGTTATCATCCAACTCTTCGACTATACAATTATTAATAAAAGTTCATCTCCTAGCATAACAATTATCAATAGTACCCCTGATACCAAAAAGTTCGTTTGAGTCTCAATATCAAGAGTCTAAATTTTTCTATCATTTTTACTTGTATATGTCATTTGTATGATAATCTACCTTTCACAATACTTGTGACATTCAATTGATCATTTTATTTATTAAGGATCATTTTTGTAGCAGATGTAGGTATTCATCGACAATAACAAGTCTTTATCCCACTAAGTGGGGTCGGGTGCATAAGTCATTTTTCGCCATTGTGTCCTATTGAGTGTCATATTTTCTTTTAATTCTAATAACTTAAGATTATTTTTTATACAACATGTCCTGGTTTTTTTATATCTACTTTTACTTTTTTTAGCATAAATTGAATCTAAACCATTTGCTCTCCTAACTGGATCATCAAATGGTTGACGTTTAATGTGACCAAGCCATGTAAGACAAATTTCTCTAATCTTGTCTACTACTGGAGCTACACCAACCCTAATCAGGTATTCGACAATATACAAAAATTTTTAAATTTTGTTTCATACCAATATAACATATAATAAATCTATAGAAATATATTCTTTTTTAATTTAGTAAATGATTTTTCTCACCTGGATTGATGGTGTTATGTCGCAATAAGTATCCTCAGGCTCATCTTGGGCTTGCCTTCTAAAGTACGTTATGGAAGACGACTTCCTATATTTAGAGAACTAATTACTTATCCACTAGTTCAATGTATCAACAATCTTAAAATAATGCTCCTACCTCGAATAGATTCCCTCG